AGGTAGCCGATCTGCTCGCCGGTGAAGACGATCGCCGCGTCGGGCTTGGGCCACGGCTCGCCGTTGGCCTGGGTAAAAACCTCGCCGTTGGCCTTCACCGGGTCGGGCTTCGGATGGGCTTGGTGCTCTGCGAGCGCGTGGTGCGCCTTGCGCAGCCGGGCGAGGCCCTCTTCGTCGAGGCCGAACTTCTCCGCGACCGCCGGCAGGTCTTTCTCGTCAACGAGGTACTTTGGCGGGTTGGCGCCGCCGGGCTGCTCGGACAGCGGCGGGGCGGCGCCCCCCGCTAGCATCACCAGCGCGCCGATAGCAATCGTGGCGGCGGACCACACCGTTTTCTTGGAAAGGATAAGAGCGTTGCGAGCAAGCACGGCGAGAGTCGTTCCATCACAGGTAAAAAACACGAGCCGCTACCGTCTACCGGCCTCGAACGTCTTGGGTTTTCCCTCGTCCCCCGCCCCTAGCCCCTCGTCCCTACTGCGCTATCACAAAGCGGACCCTAACGTCGAGCTCAGGCGTGCTGGGGTTGTTGGTCTTGAGGCGGATGTGGGCGTCTCCCTCGCCCTGCCCCCCGTCGTCGGCGCCGGCGCCGCTACGGATCTCGGCGGGCCGATTCGGGGGGATACGCACCTTCATCGGCTGATGGGCGACCCCCTCACGAATCACTTTCGGCTCGCCCAGCTCCACTTCGAGCCATTCGGGGTCGGTCGAGAGCACCTCGGCGCGGGTCGTCGCGGCGTTGTCCCCCTTGAACGACAGGAACAAGTTCTCCTCCGCGCCGGTGCGGCTGGCGACCGAGCCGAAGTTCAGGAAGTCGCGTTCCTTCGACCAGTGTGCCCCGCGCACCGAGACGTCCCCTTCGACGACCGCGAACAGCGGCACCTGCAGCGTGTCGCCGTCGAGCTTGTCCCCCTTGGGGACGCCGTCGTGCAGGTTGGTCTTCACCGACACCCACTCGGTGATGTGGCCGATCGGCAGGCCCGGCTTCGCCTTAACCACCAACTTGACGCCCGCCACGGCGCGTTCGAGCGGCAGGTCCTCGGCCTCGACCGGCACCACCTCGAACTCGTACTTGTCGGCCTGCGGCGATTGCGGGTCCGCCGCCGCTTCGACGAGGATCGGATCGCTGTCCTTCTCGTAAGTCGTCAGGTAGACCGCCGCGGTGGACTCTTGGTCGGCCGAGACCCGCCCCAGCAAGAACTCTTCGGGCGTCAGGCCCGAGGTCTCGGTGATCAGACCGACGACCGACAGATTCACGGTCGGCTTACGGGGATCGTTGGTGAGGATCGTCGCCTCTTGGCGGAACTCCCCGGGGAGCGACTTGGCGACCCACTCCAGCCGCACCGGCGACGACTCGCCCGGCGCCAGCGGCTTGTCCGAAACCTCGCCGAGCGTGCACTTGCACGTCGTGCGGCCCACCTCGAGCGTCAGCGGCGCTGTGCCCGTGTTGGTGAAGACAAACTCGTGCGACTTGGTGACGCCGCGCTGCATCGTGCCGAAGTCGTAGAGCTCCTTATCGACCGTCGCAACCGGCCCGTCATAGACTTTGAAAGGACCCGACAGGGCGGTCGGCGGCAGCTCCCCTTTGCGCGGCGGCGGCGCGAAGTCGGTCTCGACCTTGCCGACCTCGACATAAGCCAGCGCAACGCCGATCCCAGCGCCAAGCGCAAGCGACACCACGGCAATCG